CTGGTAAAAACTTTGGCATGGCAAATTCTTCGTTCGAACGACGAATGGCTTTGGGTCTTGGATAAGGCCATGAACGATGTAATGGAGCGAGCTGAAGCGGTTGTAGTATGAATGCCCCCTCCTCATTCCTCACTTGGCTCTCGACTCCTTGTTCACTTGGAGCATTTATTCCTAATGTCTTCTGGTAACGACATTACGTTTCTGCAGTTGCTGTATTGGTTCTACTATGGATCATCGCAATGGATACATACGATAAGGTCTAATATTATATACTCGCACAAACACTGTCGTGCCTGTTCTGTCTACACGAGCGTCCATATTCTCGAGCCCAAGTTCTCATGACTGGGCGAATGCAGTGAGGCTGAGGGCTGGCTGGCTATCTTCAAGTACATAACATAGACCTGCATGCAACCCCAACCTCAGACCTCCACCCCCTCCTCCGCATTCAGCCGCACACCTCTCTCTACCAGATTGGCCACCCAGCCATTAAACTCCGCCCTCATCTCCGCGGGCAACACATGCGCACCCCCCTTGACAAAATGCCTCTCGATCTCTCCGCCCTCGGCCCAGACATCCTCCTCCTGCTCCACGCCCAACCAATTCTCCCGCCCCGTCCTCCCCTCGCCCTTCTCCAGTCCCCGCCACAACACGACTCCGAGCGGAAAGGCCAACATGCGGTCCTGCGTCCCATGCACGACCATGATGCGCCGTTTGCCCACCTCGCCCGCCATGCGCAGCAGCTGCTCTGGGCTCTTGTAGTGCCAGCCCGCGGCCACAGCCTGGAGCATGAAGGGGATTTTAGCAACGTACTCTGGGTGCTGTTGCTTGCGGAGTTCGTTTGCGGCGAAGCGGTCGCCGTTTGTGGGGAATGGGGTCGAGGAGACTGGGGGGATGGCGTCGGGGGCGGAGAGCCAGGCTGGGGTGTAGAGGTTGTGTTTTATGCTGGTTAGTTTGGCAGAGGGGGATTTGGGCAGGAAGAGAGAGGCGCGGGCGGCAAGGTTGGAGAGGAAGCCGGTTGTGCGGAAGAGGTGGGAGGCTGTGGAGATGAGGGAGAGGGTGCAGATGCGCGTGGGGATTTGGTAGGCCTGAGAGGATATTAGTTTGGGGAGGAGATATATATATGGGGGGGAGGGGGGGTATGGGAAGTAAGAAAGAAAGAAGCGTGGATGCTGAGTGTCTTTCCTATTTGATCTCATTTGAGTCTTGGAGGAGCGGCGGGGGAGTGTATACAATGTCACATGATGTCGGTCCTTCGATCTGTAGGGCGAGGATCTGCAACACCAAGTGTGGGGGCGGGGTGGAGCGGAGCGGAAGTGCAGGATGCCTTGGAAGATTGGAGGGGAGTTGTAGTTTGGCCAGGTGTAGGGTGCAGTGTGATGCCCTTGGCATGTGCGTCAAATGGCGTGGTGGTGGACCGGATGGTGGAACATCCGTGGTCCGAGAACCTCAGAAGGCTGGGCTGTGCAGCCCTACAGTCTTGTCGACCACGGTACCGTTGTGGAAAATGATGGACGAGTTTGAGGAAAGTGTGTGGAAGATTGCTGGACTTACCATCTCTTGTGCGATCATGCCTCCCATACTGATGCCAATGACATGTAGTTCACGCTTTCCTATCCAGCCAATGTGATCAATGACCTCGATGACATCTTTGGCCATCTCAGAGGTGCTGTAGCGAAAGATTGGCTTGTCTGACTCTCCGATACCCCGGTTATCGAGAATCAGGGACGAGTACTTGTCAGCTTGATCATGGGCAAAATCTTTGGTCTGTCTTTGCCAGGCATCTTTCATGCCCCCAAGGCCCATGATCCACTACATATGGTCAGTGATGAATACACAGTATTTTCTCCCATAGCCCGAGGTTGGTCGAATTCTTCTCGATGCATGGGGAAATGCCTATCCAATCAGACCAACAAAGTGGACGGTTACAGTGCCATCCTGAAGACATGGACAACATGAAACACCAAGAAGCGAAGTTGAGACGGTCCATGCGACTGAAACAGAACGGGTACAAAAGCACGCTACTAGTACCAAGTCTGGCACAAGGATGCAGCGTGACAAATGCACCCTTGCCCCAGTTGCTCCTCAACCTGATGTGTCTGAACAGCAAGGCAGCAAGGCAGCATGGGGAAGGAGATGTGATCAATACTAGAGTGGGGAGTCACTCACCACGAGGTGTCGATCGCCATGGCCATGAACCTCGTAGGCAATGTTGATAGGGCCACCTCTATCCTTGGCGACAGCTAGTTTGCCCTTCTTCTCAGGCTCGAGATCCCACACGAGGTGCTCGAATTCAGGATGCGCCAACAGCTCCTCTACCGTCAATGGGGCCATGAGTGATGACGACTGTCTTTTGCTTGTCTAGGACTTGGAACTGGCAGTGACACGTTAGCACGGCAAGCCGCAGGACTGCGTGTCAAGCCGTTGTTGGCACTGACAATGTAGGTAGGGAATTCGGTAGGTAGGGTAGGGTAGGGTAGGGTAGTGAAGATGCAACGGAAGTGGCGCAGCCGGCAGCAAGTTGGGTAGCCAGCGTGGGCGAGCTGCTTCATGGAGCTGATGCAGGCAGGGAGAATCGAAGTCATGGTTTGCGTGGAGTGGTGCCATACATGTCATATGAGTAGCCCACCCTGGTGCAAGCGAGCGAAATGTATGCAGTGCTGATGGCCGAGATGGAGAAGATGCGGCTGGGCGTTGGTGCAGAATGGTGACGTACTGTGCGTGCTATGTATGTAAAACGATTCCGAGCGTCAGCAACACGAAGAGCGCGGCGACGTGTGTGCTTAGGACAGCGTGTGTACGGTAGGTAAGAGGTCGATATAGAGTCCTAGGCAAACGCATGCACCACAGTACGATGTTCCAGCGTTTTTTCACAGTGGAGCCTTGGATCTGTGCTGATTCGGGAACCCTATGTGCTAGGGGTATGTACTCTACCGGTATGGTGAGTAGTATAGAGTATCTATACTAAGTACTAGTAGTGAACTACCAGTCGTTCATAGGTACATACTGTCTCTTACTGGCAGTACTCTAGCACACGGCGTCTCGACCGTGCTAGCACCTGGTCCACACGTAGCCTAAACCTCACACGTCCCTTGGTGAGTTACTTGGAGCCCCATCCGTTCGGCGAAACCTAATAGTTGTGCGGATCTCGGACGACAACCGGGAGAAACCACCTACCTGTCTTACCTGGTCTTGCGGTGGGCGTTGTACATACCTGCTGTACGACTGCAGGCCTACTCTTGATGCCCCAGGAGGGATACCAGCCTTGCCCCCCCCCCCCGTGTATGTCAACTACTTCTTGTTGCTTCCTTACCCAAGCCCTCGCCTGACCAGTGTGTCCCCACGTCGAACCGGAGACGGGCCCTAAGCAGACTCCGCTTCCCTCCGAACTCCAACTTGCTGCTAAGCCCCCCGATCATGCCTGGCCCTAACACTTAACAGTATACACTACCTGCACATAACGGCCGTCGTATACATGCACTGCTGCAGTGGCCCCAAACAAGCTTCTGCCTCACCCCTCACCCGTCGCGAGCTGCACGCGATTCGATAAGCCGGACAATCTGCGACAAGTCTCCCTTTATCGTGCTGTCGATGTGCCCTCGGCAGCGTTTCAGCTGGACCCTTCCGCCCGCCCCAACAGCCTTCGTCATCACGAAACACCACAACGTCCCATATTCCCGCGAGGGAGTCTTGTTTGCCCGGTGGAAGCTGATATCCCAAATCACCTTCGCGACCTGAACCACCACCACCACCACTACTACTACTCCTACCACCACCGCCACCATGAATAACTCACCAAGTGCCTACTATGGCGCCGGCCCACCCATGATGAACCCTCCGCCCCCACGCATCTTCGGTAGCGGAACCTTTGACCCGTCGCAGATGCCGCAGGGCCCAATGTTCGCCCACGATGACATGGAAGAGCACGAGAGTGGAGGCGACCCCAAGAGACGGCGCATCGCAAGGGTATAGATGCATTGTGGCAGCAAGCCGAGTTGGACAAAACTGACAGGCTATAGGCGTGCGACATGTGCCGGAAGAAGAAGATCAAGTGCGATGGTAAGATGCCTCAATGCACACACTGCCAGAACTACAAGACGGAATGCATCTTCACTCAAGTGGAGAAGAAGCGGCAGCCACCAAAAGGGTGCGTTAGCTTCCATCCTGCTACACATGCATGCGCCGGCTAACCACGAATAGCGCCAAGTATATTGAAGGTCTCGAGAATCGACTCGCCCGAATGGAATCCTTGATGCGCTTGTCTGGAGTCCTTCCCGACGAGGAAAATGGCACGACCGATTTAGCCACGCTGGAAAAACGGTTGGAAGCCAGGGCAGGCCGGTCTGCAACACCCAGAACCAGCATAGACGAACGCAGGCAATCAGTGGCACCGCCTGGCTCGACAGCGGAGGGTACTCCCGTACAACCGACGTTACCCAGTCCACAAAGTGGCACGGCCTCGCCAGAGTCTGAGCCGCGACCCAAGAATGGTGAAAAGGAAAAGGAAAAAGATGAGGATGCTCTTGCAGAAATGATGTGCTCACTTGTCACCAACAATTGTGGCGAGACGAGGTACATTGGTGAGTCGTCTTGGACCAGTGGGCTCTACTGTGCTGTACTGATTTGATAGGCTCCTCTTCTGGCTTTTCCATCTTCTCACCCAAAGGCATACAATGGGTGAACGAAAAAACAGGAGACAACTCCTTCCGCGATATGATTTCAACGGCCGCAGTCGAAGACAACAAATGGATACAATGGCGACCAGACGTGTTCCAGGACATTTTCAAGCGACGAGCCTACAAAGCACTGCCGCCCAAGCACGAAGCGCTGTCGCTCCTCAAGGATTATTTTGAGAACTTCAACTGCATGTTCCCACTGTTCCACGAACCGACTTTTATGCACCTGGTCGATAAGCACTACTCCAAGGACCCTTATGAAGGCTCTGGCTGGTGGGCTAGTTTGAATGTTGCCTTGGCATTTGCACATCGTCTACGTGTAATGAGCAATCTTGTGCCAGCAGAAGAAGACGAAAAGGCGTGGCAATACCTCAAGAATGCCATGAGCGTCATGGTCGAACTCACAATGCGCAACACTGATTTGCTCAGCGTTCAGGCGCTGCTAGGAATCGTAAGCATCATCCATCCAAGATCATCAGAATGTAACTGACACGTGACAGGGCCTTTTTCTACTAGGGACACCGAATCCTCAACCTACGTACTTTTTCGTCGCAACCGCTATGCGACTTGCGCACAGTATCGGCCTGCATAAGAAGGGGTCCAACTTCAGTCTGAACGCAGCGGAAGTGGAGCAACGAAGACGAGTCTTCTGGATTGCGTACATGCTCGACAAAGAGTGGGTTATTCTGATCTTGTTGAAGGACTTAACTTAACTAACGTCTACGCAGTATTTGTCTACGATCTGGCAGACCCCCTGTTCAAGATGATGACGATATGAATGTCGAATTACCGAGCGAAACGCCCCCTGATAACATTGGCAACATACCACTAGCCGATGGTAAAGGGACCATGAACCTCTTCCGTCTCATGTGTACATTCTCCGTCATTCAAAGTAAGGTCTACAAGGGTTTGTACTCGGTAAAGGCCTCAAAGCAGACGGATGGCGAGTTGCTTAATACAATCGGCGAACTGGACAGAGAACTCGAAGCCTGGAAAGATGGTATCCCATTGGAATTCCGGCCAGAACACGACATCAAAGCCTCTCATACCCCTCTCATCCTGCAAGTAGCCGTCTTGCATCTCGGTTACTACAATTGTCTCACCACCATCCACCGCATGAGTGTACATCACGGATACTGGACAAGTCGACTTTCGAATTTCGCAATACAAGGATTGAATGCACGACCTCTCAACCCAAGAGTCTTCATGTCAGCCCAGCTCTGCGTGCAGGCTGCTAGAGCATCAATTCATCTCCTCAAGTACATTCCAAAAGGCGACTTGTCATGCGTGTGGTTAGTCATCTACTTCCCAGTTACAGCACTGGTTACACTCTTCGCGAACATATTACAAAATCCACAAGACACTCGATCGCGCACAGATCTGAAGCTAATGAAGTTGGTGGTCAACTTCTTGAACATGCTGGACGACGAACAAGGAAGCGGCAGTGTAAAACGAATGTGTACAGTCTGCGCCGAATTCGAGCGTATCGCTAGCATGGTACTGGAAAAGGCAGACCGTGAACACGCATCACGGAGGAAGCGCAAGCAAGGAGACAGTGAGCAAGATGCAAAGATTGATGCCACAGCAGCTGAACTACTTTCAACGAATCGCAACAATTCACAGTCATCACCTCAGCAAGCCAGCACACCGCAAAACAATCCACCTGCCTCGGAAGGCATGATCTTCAACCCCGACTTCCACGGCTTTAACGAGGTATGTACTCCTTGTCCCCTTCTCCTCCATCTTGATTACCTTTTTAACACCATCAGCCTTTCCCCTTTTCCCCCAACTTCACACATGCCTCCCTCCAAGCGAATTCGCAAATGGGTCAATACGGTTCGCCTTCGATGACGGCGCAAATGCTACAACAGCAACAAAGTCTACCCATGACAACAGGCGGCGACGTGAACAGCATAAGTTCCAACATCAATGCAATGGCCATAAGCCAGTTTGACCAAACCATCAACAATGTCCCACAAGACCTATGGAGGATGCCCATGACCCTTGAATGGGACTGGGCCGATATGACTGGTGGCTACACTGGATACGAGGATGGCATCAGCATGAACGGTGTCCTACCCGACTTTTCAGATTCGCAGCATGGGACAAGCGAGTTTAACTCTGGTGCCATGAATGGCGGGCGCTGATAATTTATATTTTGGGGAAAAGTTACACGTTTCTTTTTTTATCTGCGTATGTATTAACGATACCAACGCCTCGTATTATTTTTTGGTCTTGTAACAATACCGACAGATCTATGGCTTGATGTAGTATCATGACTGCAACTGTAGATTTCTAGAGCAAGTCCTGGCTCTTACTCTTTCTTGCAATTCCGGGCATGGAGGGAGAGTGGGGTGGATTAATAATCTAATTCCAAGATGAGTTTTCTGCAACTCAGGTATTGTTTATTATCTAGCTCACTGCATATGACCTTTTCTGCACACTGTATTATTGATGGTGTCGTGCGTAGATCATCATCATGGGCTGGCAAGATGATCGGACACCGTCCTCTTCTTTCCCCGACATTGCAGACACAAGTCTTCTGGCTTTTGAGTCATAAACACAAAAGCTCAATTCTAGGGCGGATTTGTGTAATGAAAGTTTATTTACACACACATCTCGTCCACAAAGTCGGTATCTGGATTCCGCATCAACGACGACTTCGCAAGACATCCAGCCAGGTGCTGCATGTACCTATCGGTACACTCAAGAGCTCGCAACCGTCACCTTTGAACCACCAGCCGCAACCTCAACCTCCCAGCCACCCCTGCTCGCTTTCCCACCCTCAACGCTATACCCCACATCCTCCTTGCCACTCTCCTTCAACCACACCACCGCTGACTTCGCCTGCAGCGCCTCTGCCCGGGTAGCAGGCACAAGCGTCAACACCACGCGCCGAGTCTCTTTCTCATAGACAAACTCTGCAATAGCGCCCGCACTGACTTCAACTTTGAGGCCCAAGGCCGCAATGAAAACGCGTCGCTGCACGGCGTCTTTGGGCGCCACCGTCAGCGAACCAGCATTGCTCTTTGCGTCGTCGAGGTCGCCGCCAAAAACTAGGTCGCCGTGCTCGGCGTCTGCGACCACGTAGACGCACTGTCCTAGACTGAGGCCGAGGAAGCCCTGGCCGTAGTCGCCAACGTAGGGATCCCACTTGAGCAGCTCGGGGAAGGAGTGGAAGGCCGCAGAGGCGAATCCTTCCTCGTCAATGTTGGTAAGCGGTGCGGTGTTGCCTGCGAACCCTACGCGCAGGTTGTACAAGTTGCCCTTTGGATTCTGCTCGTAGGCATGAAGCATGGGCAGGGAGTTTAGACCGGAGCCGTAGTGGTGGAGCTGGCGTTCAATCTGGGCTATCTTGGCGCCGTACACAAAGTCCCAGTATCGACGGGCGTTGCCGTTCCAGCCCCAGTGGGCAACTGTGGGCATGTAGGCGAGGATGCTGTTGATGGTCTTGGCCGGGGTGACGGGGAGCTTGAAGTAGTCGGTCCAGTAGTAGACACCTTCCTGGCCTGTGCTGTCCCAGGCCATTTCGCTACCAAACGGAACTGTTTGCGATTCCCAGTGGTCGGCGCGGAAACGCATGGCGGTTTCGAGGGCAGAGGCTTCGGCCGTCATGGCTTCGCGTTTTAGGTCGGAGAGCAGCTCGCCGAGCACCCACTCGCCCATCAGTCCGAAGAGTCCGTATTCGCAGTTGGCGCTCTCGTTTCCAAGACAGTAGAGTGTGGTGTTGACTGCACGGCCGAGGTACCAGGACCAATCTGCTCGGAGTTTATGCTCTGGGTAGCCCCTGGCTGTGCGGTATAACGTCCAGTATGTGGCTGTTGGGTGAATGTAGTTGTATGCACAAGTTGTGGTGTATGATCGGGAGCGGTTCCAGGATGTCCACGATGTCCAATCGAACGAGGGGTTGTATGCAAAGTCAACAGCACCAGGCTCGTGGAAGAATGCACTGGCAATGACCTTGTAAGTGCCATTTAGCTGCAGCGTTTTGAACATGGTTTCATGCACAAACCCGTCTAGAATCTCGACTTCCTTTGCCACAGGTTGGATATACTGCTTCATAGCGGTCGCGAGATAAGCTCCTGTACCGGCTTCATCGCTGAGCCCAGAGAACCAGACACGAGGCTCTTGGGCAAGAATCTGGTTCACTTCTCGATCATAATTCATGATGGATGGAGCGCGGCCAAACGGATCTGAGGTATCAGTGAAATGAGCAGCTGTGGTGAAGAAATTACCAAGATCAGCGAGTGACGAAGGTGCCGATTTGGGAATGAAGTAATGCACAGTTTGCGTCTTGCCATCCTCGTAGGTAATAGTCACTCGTGCTCGACCCCATGCTGAAGCAGCAGGAGTAAGCTTGTATGCATTGCCAGGCGAGGCCAGCTTCGATATCTCAAGAGCTCCATTGGCGTCGATGTTGCGAACGGGCGAGGAGTGTTTCAAGAAGAGTCGTGCCGAGGATCCAGATGGTACCACGAATCCTGGGACACCCATTGCAACTGGAGTCCCAGTTTTTACCACAGCGTCTTCAATGTGCTGGACATCATCGGCGGCCGAGAACTTAAGACCAATCGTGTATTGTTCGCCTGCCTTTAGGACTTTCGAGGTCGGTTTGTTCCAAGGCACACTGGCATTCCACTCATTCTCCGCATACGCAAGCGTATGAACTTGCCACTCGTAGTTGCCCTCAAAGGTCTGACTCTGGTAACCGAATTCGCCCGCTGGCTCCCGCAGGAAGTGCCAGGCCTCGAATGGAGTAACTCCAAGGGGAGTGATGACCAGCGCGCTTCCAGTGCCCTTGAGATGAGTGACTCGGACATAGCCTGCATCAAGGCCAATGTACGGATCAGCGAGGGAGCATCGGTCTTGGGTTTCTTCTGCGGAGCGACGAGAGAAGATATTGTTGATGCTGACAGGAATGCCCAGACTTCCCAATTCGACGGATGAATTGGCGGTGTTGGTGACATTGAAGCGCAGGGCGAAATCATCCCCATCTTGGCATCCACTCCCTCGTGATCTTCAGTGGCAGTCCACTCGGAAGTGTAGGT